GTTATTCGCGTATTCGTTCGGCCATCCGCTAGCCTCTTGCTTCAATTGCAGAAAGCAGTATATACTCGGTGAACAATCCCCCCCGCCGCGTAACCGGATCGTATCGCATGATTTCGTAGCTCCATATTTCGCTCACGCTCGTGACGCGATAACCTTTCTCGATAGCTTTGCGTAACTCGCAAGACACCCACGCGCCTTCGAATTCGCGATCGGCAGGGTCGTTGTGCGTACACGCGGTCTGAGAAAATGTCTTGCAGCAGCTGCGACAAAGCGCGAATAGCAATTTTTCGTTCACGCGATAAGGGAGTACCGGATGAAAGAGATCACGCGGCGCGAGCACTCTGCAACGTACGAAACCTTCTACGGCGTCAAAGTTAAAATCGGGGCCTGCTCCGATCAAGGCGCAATACTCCCCACCCACGTAAATGTCCAGATGACCGAGCGGAAAACCATCCGTCTTCAGCACATACTGGTACAAAGAATACACGTCCACGTAGCGTATCTTCTCCGTATCCGTAACTTCGTACCGCGTGACGATATTTTCCATACGCCCGCCGTAGAACGCCTCGCGAAGTTCAAGGGGATTGTTTCTCAACATGGGATGATTCTCAACAAATTCGCGTATCTTACGACTTTCGCGCAGCTCCCGATCGAAAATACACTCCCACTTTTCCGTAACGACGTACCCCCGTTTTCTAAGACGACACATTGTCACGAGTGTGCGCTCGTAACGCGCTTCGATCGTATCCTCGCGTGACATGGTTGAGAGCGGTCAGTCGCGGTTCACGCGAAAACACTCGAGACATCCGTGCCAAAAACAACCGTGAAACTGCAGCACGTGATGCTGCCGGGGATTCTCCGTCTCATAATATCCGTCGACGAGCAAGCCTTCCGATAAACGCTGTTCTCAACCTCTTCTCGCGTGAATTATCGTGCATCCGAGCTCATGCTCCATCAGCAATAACCATTGCAGCGCTTTACGCGATTGCGCGTTGACACCCCTATAACCGCCGAGCGGGATTATCCCAATTTCCTTCTTGCGCAAAAAGTTTTTGCGAAAAATTTTCATACACGTCAAAGCGATAGTCGTGCATTCTTCGAACGGGCACACGTTTCCGCGGTCTAGAAAAATTTTTCGATAGGCCAGACACGCTCGTCGAAAAATATCTACGTCGTTCCGGCAATAGCGCACTATCTCCTGTTGAAAATTAAACACCGCGTTTTTACCCATCATTTCCGCGTCATTGCCACGTTAAAAATTGTTCGCGTTCGTCCGATTTCATCGTATCCGGAAAATAATAATCAATATCCGGTAGCGGCCCGGTATAATTTTGATTTTTAATTGTGTTGAATAAATGCGGAAATACGCCTTTGGCGACGGAATCCTTCAGTCCAAAAGCTTTCGGTAACGCCGACAGCCGCATAGACATGTAATTAGCGATATCGAGAAATTTTGTCCGTCCCATGGTTAGTAATGCAATTTTTGTCCCGTTTAATATTACTTTCGGCTCGTCCGTCCTCGTCCTCGTCCGCTCTCGACCAGTTAGCGCAGGATGAACTATGAGTCGAACGCCACCACATTGTGCGCGATACAGATGAAGCAGGAGAAACGCTTCGTCGTTCTCGTTGCAAAATTGACGAATTGTTTTACCGGATCATCGCGAAATACAAATTCGCGCACCCCGCACCAACGACATCGCAACGCCATATCGTCCTCTCCCAGACAAGCTTCGCACGTTTGCTGCGCGACGCAGAGAGTAACTACGTGTGTTTTAACGTTCGCGCATCCTTCGAGCATTTCGTCTGTCGCGTCTCGAAGTCGTAAAATATAAACGCGGCGCGACCCTTCCGATCTGTTCTCGCATCGTCATTATTGTGGTTATCATCGGTTTCGTCGACATTTTTGAGTTCTTTCGCGTTGATCGATGCCGATACGTGACTCCCTTGAAGCGGTCGCATGAAACACAAGTGATTCAGCGGTTTCGATGCGCAGCATATGCGACAATAAGCCGCGCCGCACGCGTGTTTTGCGCCCGATCTTTTCAAACGCCCGCAATCGCTGCAAAATCTCACGGCATCGCAGACACTCGACGGCGACTTGCCGGCGTAAGATTTCGGCGCGCGATGACGTTCGAAACAGCTCTCGCCGTAAAACACGCGGTTACATGCGTCGCAGGCGATCAATCGCGCGTCTAGCTTCTCGCACAGCGGTGCACCGAGGCATTGCGGACACGTATTTGAGCACCGATGACCCATGACTGTAACCTTTGTTACAGGGAACGCAATAATATCTACTAGCCGAGGCGGCTTTTAAATTTAAAATAGGCTTATAATGCTGCGAGCGCTCGTAATACATTATATTTCGTGTATAATTGGCTATACGAGAACGAGAGGCTAGCGTCGAGTGTCCGTCATATAACGGAGGGATTCCGCGACCGAAACTCCTGAAATTATAAATGACAATCGCGATATTTTTTAGCGAAAGAAGCTGCTGAAAACGCTCGATCTCCGGGATACCGCATCCTTCCTCGGGTATAACTATAGCAGCGTGTCTCGTTAATTCTTCCGCCAAACGTCTTTGCAACGCGGAATATGGGTGTCTTATATTTTCCCATTTTCTATGAAGTTCGCCCGTGCGTATTGTACCGCGTTCGCAATAAACGCAAGCCACGACGAAGGAGCGCGGGAGACACATATTATCCTGATTATTTATATTTAAAATCGAGCGTTTTACCACATCTTCGTGCGTTAATTTATTCGATTTTCCCCCTCGGCCCGAGGGCATCCCGACATTGTACACCGTTATTAGGGGGTAACACCACTCTAGAATTTTTGAAAAATCGATTTTTTTTGGCTTAAAATGTACTTTAGAGTCATAAAAATGATATGCAATTGGTCTTATAACGAAAAAAAAGTCGATAATAAGCGGCCCTATTACCGACCGAGTGAAAGGAGGTAGATGCCGTCATAGAGATGTTTCAGCGTTCCGAATCATTATTCGATATGAAATATGCCAACTACGTGGGAGACGGGGATTCTAAAATATTCAAAGGCATTATGGATTCACAGCCGTATGAAGATTTTATCGTTAAAAAGAAGGAGTGCATTGATCATGTCCAAAAGCGGATGGGCTCTCGCCTTCGAAAACTAAAACAGTCAACAAAAGGACTTTGGGGAAAAGGCAAGTTGACTGGTAAGTTAATAGATGAATTGTCAATATATTACGGCCTGGCAATTTGCAGAAATCCTGATTCAATTGATAAAATGAAAAATGATATTTATGCAACATTGCATCACAAATTATCAACCGACGCCAACCCACAACACAACCGGTGCCCGCCCGGAAAGGACTCTTGGTGCTCGTGACAGAAAGCACGTGCAACGGGGTCAGCGCACACTCATAAAACGCCTATGTCGGAACAAGTTTATGAGGCTATTCTTCCGATCTACGAAGAATTGAGTCGCGATGACCTGCTCCTTCGTTGCTTAGGCGATTTTACGCAAAACAGCAAGGAGAGCCTGAATACAACAGTGTGGTCAATGGCTCCAAAAACTATTTCCAGTGGCAAGCACGTCCTTGATACTGCCGTATACATTGCTACGAGCATATTTAATGATGGATTATCAAGTGTGATGAGGGTGATGCAGGGATTGGACATGAAAATTGGACCCAATTGCTATAATTTTTGCGTGGAAGCAGATGAGCGCCGGATCAAACTTTCGGAGAGATCCCTTTCAGAGGAGGCTAAAAAGGCGAGAATGTCGTTAAAATCGTCCAGGAAGGAAGAGGAGGAAGCGAGCATCAATTTAGAAGGCCAAATGTATGGAGCAGGCATTGCAGATTAAAGGTAAAATAAAATTTTCAACAATAAAAGGCTTTGAAAAACTTTAAACGCCATTATCTCAAAATCACTTTTTTCGAACTGGGCGGACACATTGCACAAAGACCGTTCCACCGATCGATTTCAAATTTTAACAGTAACTTCATAATTACGTTCTTCAGAAAAGTACGTAGCCGTTTTTTGATTGAATGTAAATTTTTTTTAATAAACAATTGATTGACACATTTTTAGGTCAAAAATCGATTTTTTTCTTCATTAGTGCACAGTTTCTACAAAAATCAATTAAAAAAAAATCGCTACGTACTTCTCTAGCCAATAACATCTAAATTAAGAAAATTTTTGGTTTGTTGTTCCAGGTCGAAAACTTTTCAAGATATGTGTCCGCCCGTGGAGAACTTTTTAAAAAAAGTTATTTGGGAAATATGCTATATCGCCGCCATTTTGTTTACAAATGTCAATAAAAAAAATTTCTTTCTATACTTTAATACATACTCAATTAACCCTCAAAAGGAAAATCCTATTCCTTTTCTCATTTTCCCACAATAAATTCAGAAAATTAGGCCTTTTTTCAATCGCTAGAGTGGTGTTACCCCTTAAAAAACGTTCCGCGATATCGTGACCCCCGGCGCTCTGCGCTACCGAGCTTACGAGGCCCCAGATATCCTCGTGAGTCAAGTCTCGCACCGGGCGAAACGACAAGCCGGCCGGCCCGCGTGTTAAAGCCGTCGAGGTGAAAGACAGGCTCACGTAATCGCTCGCGTTAGCGGAATTAACGGCGTAAGAATAGATTTCGCGGAATGCGTTTTCTAAATGTTTGGTGATGTCTGTGCTTTCGACGGGTGAGAGAATCTTTATACTAGTCTCTCGTACTAATATATGGAAATTTCTAAACCGCAGCGCGTTTTCCTCCCAAATTTCAATATAATTAAACTCAATATTACCGCGCTGGTGAGGAACTTCTTCTTCTTCTTCTTCTTCTTCCTCCAGACTCTTCTCGCGCCGGTTCCATTTCGGAGGAGAGAGCGCGTCCACGTGTGCCTCCTTGTTGTACTGTAAAAGAGTAATGCAAAATAATTAGAAACGCGAGCTCTGTAAAATATTTAATATTTTAAGCCATCTTATAACTCACGTTCGAATTTACTCTTCCGGCGTTGAATTGAGATACGATAATTCCTGACTAGAACCCCATACCGGGGAATCGGGAAAAATTCGTAATTCCGGAGGGATTTCAGCGTTACCCTCCCACAGTATTCTCTCCCACTCCTCTTCTTTTTCCGCGTCGGGAATATGTGGCATACAATCTTCGTCGGAATGGTAGCTAACCGGCGAGTAACTCGGTTCTAATTTCATTTACAATCAATTTGGATTAAATTCGAACGTAAATAAAAATAAACATCTAGAGAATTCCGCGTGGGTTCGCACGCAAAAGTTCTTACCCGATATTGCCGAAGAAAGCGGCTCTCGATAACGGCGAACGTTTTCATCATTGCCCCCAGCATTGTCGTCGTCGTCGCGTTCCTCTCCCTCGTTACTCTTCTCGATGCTGTCTTCGTCGACATTGACGTCGTTGCCGGCGTCATTGACGACGGCGACGTTGCCATCATCGCCGTCGTCATCATCTTCGTCGTCGTCGTCGTCGTCGTCGTCGCTGTCGGGTCTATCACCATCGTCTCTGTCGACGCTATAGCTGTCGTCAGTGTCGTCGTCATCCTCGTCGTCATCCTCGTCGTCGGCGTTCCCGTCGTCGCCCTCGGCGTCGTTCACATCGGCAGCGGCGGCGTCTAGCGTTTCGTTAGCGCCGGTATCATTTTCGCTGTTTTCTGAAAGTAAAATTATACTTATATCGCATAAATCGATTTTAAAATGACACTTTTGTTATTTTATAATATTTATGCCGCCTTACCTGCGGGTTCAACAGCGGCGACGACGGTCTCGCTCACAAGCGTTTCCACGCTGCAGATGCTGTCGGAATCCCATAAGTCGGCTTCCGATGTCTGAGCATTATTACAGGCTAAAAATTATTTTGGTGTTAGATAATTTACCCGATAAAGCAGCTTAAATCCGGTACTCCTCTCTCTCTCTCTCTCTCTCTCTCTCTCTCTCTCTCTCTCTCTCTCT